CAATTTACACAACTCTGAAAGAAGAACATTGAAATAGAGGATCTGAAAAATCTAACCCAACTCAAACATTTTTTCATAGTATTTTTTAAATCTCTAAAGCCTTCAGAGGCTTTATTCTTACTTAGCTGTACAAGATAGTGCTGGGAAGAAATTAACCAGAGTTACCACACAGGCTATGTCCAAGCACAAAAATTACCTAGGGGTCAACAAACAAGACAAGAATTGACTCTGCTGGAAGAGCTAAATAAAGATTTCTAATTCTTTGCTTTCCTTCAAACAATAGGTGTTTAGGGTTCGTTACTAACAGATGATTTCCTGATAAATTTCAATCAGAAATTAGGAAAAAAGAGATTAAGTTCATAATGGAAGTCACTTTTAATATAAGTAACTTTTCTGGACCATGTATGTAAGGGAAGGTATACTTTAAATCTGCTTTATTGGTAAACACAAACAAATATGCCTAGGAAATATGGCCAGCACTGTAAAAAGAGGAAAAGGGAATACAGAATATGGATTCTCTCTTATTCTAGCTTTCATTAAAAAATAATAGTACTGAAAGCCTACAGTATTGGATACTTTGGGACATTTTATTTGCGAAAAGTGATAAAGCATTTTCACTTTTTTTCTGGCTTCAATTCACTTTACCACTCATGTGTTATGTAGGCATCTCAAATAATAAAATTTATGGCTTGTAAGATGATTTTTGACTGTGGCTTTGAAAGGCCAGATGAAATTTAACATTTTTAGTTTGATTCTCTCAAATTTTCTGGTCACTGATTTGTAAATAACAAGAACAATTATTTTCTTCATGTTTTTCTATGGGGAGAAAAGAATCGCTAAAATGACTGGAACAGTTAAACAGGACAAATGAGAGAAAATATAAAGAAAAGAGACATCTCCTATAACATTTCAGCCATAAATAATATGCAGTAGAGCCTTTCACGTATAGTCACTTACATCATCTCAACTGAAGGTTACGGATAAACTGGGCCAAAAACACCATCTTGTAAAAGAGTAATGTATGTCACAAAGGTACTGAGTTGGGGACTCACTTACGTAGAGTCATCTATTCTCAAAATCTTCCTCATTTCAAAGAACTGAGCATGTACAAAGAAACCAAAAGGATCAGTTCTCAGTGCAAAGTCTAGGTGGGGGGAAAAGAAAACATAAAAGAAAGTAAAAAGCAGCCTCCCTCTTCCTCAACTTTGGGGTACCTTTGTCTTCATAGAGCTCTCAACACTTGGATCAAGGTAAAGATCAGCAAGAAGGGCCCTTCAAAGGCAGGGACAGGCTTCTGGGATTGATCTTTGAAAATCAGGCTGGGACTCTCTGCTCAGGAAACAGCACAGCTGTGTTGTGTGGGTACAGTGCTCTCTGAGAAGGTCATTGTGGACACAGGATACAAGGCCAGAGCAGGAAATCTACAGGGGTCAATAAAAACATCACCTTTTCCCCATTTCTAGTTTGCTATTTTCCCCCATTTTCCAATTTAAACCTGATCTGAAGAAATGTCATCAGTCTCTAAGATGTCTTAGCCTGGTCTGATGACTATCCACACTTAGGGCACATCCTGCCTTGACCCTGGCACTTTACCCACTGTTTCTCTTTCATACCCTATACTAACATAAGCATACCACTACCGCTTCCCACTTTCTGTTCAAATCAAACCTGGCATCACCAACAAATCTCTTAGACACAGGCATTCTGCAAGTGTCCATTCATAGCATTAAAATGAGTCAGCCCAGATCTCTTTCCCTTTACTTCCCTTCTTGTTCAGGCTCTACCCCCTATCACAACCCCAAATCAAAGACCTATCTTTTATAAATATCTTGCATGGTATTATTGCTTAGCTAGGGACCTTATTGCCTAGGATGGTGTAAGAAACATAGAAGATCCTTAGTAATTTGGGAACTACCTATTAAATTCTTCCAGATGACCATTATGCCATCATTAGACATTTCCTTTTCTTACTCTCAATCCAGAATCTTTTTTTCTTTTCTACTACCATGGCACACAGTCAAATCTATCATCCTTATTTCCATCTTCTATCCAAACTGAAAAGTCAACTCTCAAAGAGCTTGGAAGTTTCGCTAGGGTTGTTTTTTCCTTGGGATCTGACTTTAAACCTCACCGTGATAATAAAGCTCTCAAGAGAGTCTCCTCTTTCTCTATCTCCCAAACAGTCACCCACTTAAGGGCTTATTTCTCCTTTTAAATATGCAATTCAGAACATAGTTCTGCTTCTAGAAAAATTTACTCCCATTTTCTCCATTCTTACCCAAAAACATGATTACCAAGTGACTTCAAACCCCTCCCGCAAAAAGTATATACACAGGGGTTCCATCAAACATATTTCCTGCTGTTTCTATTATTGCTGTATATGATCAAGAATTCACCTGCTTTCTAAGGTATTTCCTCCATTCCTAAAAATGTAAACACACAAAGTTGAACCCATCAGAGGTAATAAAGGTGCAGAAATAAGAAAGAGAATAATAGATGTGGTAAAATGGCCAACTGTCTGGTCCTCTCTGTTCATTATCTTTCTCCCACTGCAAGTATCTGGCAATTTGAATGTATTGTTTCCACCCTTGTAAGAACAAGGTGCATTTCATCTAGTGAGGCTTCTCTTTGTTTTGCTGGGTCAAAACTGGGAGAATGTATATGGTAAGAGATGAATTATTCTAGGAGACATTGAATATTTTTCCCCTCAAAATGTATAACCATGATGTATTTTCTGTTAGCTGCTTGGTCCTTAAAATCTAATTTGCTTTAGTCAGTCCCAAACTAGAAACTTGAAAAAAGAAAATCATAAAAATACAGTCTTTTAATTATCAATTATGAGTAGTCTATCTTCTGTAGCCAGAGCCTCCAAACTGAGAAATCCACTGAAATGAAGACATGTTGGCCCTAAACTCCAAGTACTTTTTGCCACAGCATCACTATATCACTTTCCTTTAATAAATGAGGTTGGCTTTGGTCAAAAACATGAAAAATTAAAGAAAGTATTAAAGGAACCAGTCAGTCCCCTTCTCACACCACTACCACTGCCTGCCCAGCCCCAACCTCTGCCCAATTCCTGGCTTAAAAATGATCCCACCTCCTACCTATCTGGTGAACAACAATTGCTCCCAACCACTGTAATTTATATATATATATATATATATATATATATATATATATATATATATTCTCTCTTTTAATCCATCCCAGGACCCTTGGAGGTAGGTTTTAACATTCCCATTATATGCCTTAAAAAATAAGGCCCAAAATGAAAATAATGCCAAAGGACCATGTCAGTCAACAGAGTTGTTTAACAGAGCCCATTCTAATCCTTTGTTAACACTGTAAATTATGGAAAATCTTAAAGACTGTATGGATTCAGAACTCCTAAGATTTTAAAATTTTAAAATGCATACCTGTTTTTTCCTTGAATTTTCTAAAGAAAACAGGTCTGCTGACAACACAGATGTAAATGGAGAACAGCATAGCTCAGGAAAAGGGTTTGGAATAGATGGCATTTCCAGAACATCAAGATCTTTCTTTTTTCTCCTACAGTAAGAGAACATAGGATGTAATTTACATAAAACAGAATGTAAAATATAATTGCTGACAGGATTAAAAAGTGTGCTAAGGCCAACATTACCACTCTGTGGCAAAGCTCATATTATATAAAGTATACAGAAAAGGTCTGTGATGTACTCTCTATGGGTCAAAATATAGTATGTTAATTAGAGATGAAAAAATCTCTTATAATATTTCTCTCTCTCTCTCCTTTTCTCTCTCTTTTGCCTTTAAATCACCAGGCATGGAAACTCTATCCCTTTTGATAATTTGACTATACCATTACTAATGCAAACATCACCCTGAGGAGTCAGACATTGTTAGGCTTCCATTATATTGACAAAGTCTCTAAGTTACAGTTAGTGCATTCATCCTTATGATATTTTACTAATCACTTTTGGAAGTTATGGTTTATTAATTATAGCTGTGGTTCATGTCACTTCAAATTTCATTCACAATGTTGCCCACACACAGTCTGTTGGTATTTCAAGTGCTTATAGATATTAAACAGCCAGGCAGTGTTTTGAGGAGGTAAGTTAATAGAACTTGATAGAATAAACCACTCTAGTCCACTGGAGAGTAATTTTAACTTCACTGAAATTGGAGCGCTTTGAAAATCAGGAAAAAAAATGTAACATTTAAATGTATAAATATAAAGGACTACAGATTTGTGTATTGTTGTAACCTTTTTTTTTTTTCCAAAAGTATGTGCAACTCTGAAGGCACTTAGTGCTGAATGCTATGGAGATTGGGAAACCTTTTAAAACCTCTATTCTTTCCTGTTGAACAGCAAGACTGCTCAAATGTCAATCCATGCTTTGCTTCTACAGGGTCGCTGTAAGACTCTATGTGGGAGGTGAATACATTCATGCTACGATTTTTTTTAATATATAAAATAAAATAGAGTTTCCTTTGTGAAAATGCAGGGCCACGAAGGAGCAGAAGGTGATCAACCTGCAGCCTGGCCTCCTAGTTTCACACCGATGGGCAGAGGCGAAAGAGATGAGAGCTCTCAATGAAACGGTGATGCTATTTATAAGGCACTGTGAGATCGCAATGTCCTGCTGGTCCGGTAGGAGACAGCTAAGGGGATTGTCTTCAGAGACTTTTACAAACTTGGCCCAGCTCTGGGCACATGGCTCACCCCCTAGGACCGCCTCCTCACCCCCTCGCCGGCTGCCCAGCCAGGACACTCCCCCGCGCCCTCCAGGGCTGCCTACCTGTCTGCAGGACAGCCGCGGGTCCCGTCCGGAGGGGGCAGGAGCGTTCGCGCGTGCAGCCAGGGGGCCGGAGCCAGGTCGTGGGCGTCGCCCCTCCCCTGGGCAGCGCCACACACCTGGGCGGCCAGCGGCGAGTCCCGGGCAGCCGCCCTGCCCGCGGCGCTCTGCCCATCTTGCAGGGAAGTGGTCATTGTCGCCGGCCGGGGGGCGCGGGCGTCATGGGAGACCCGGCGCGTGGGGAGAACGGGATCGCGCGGCGGGAGGCGAGGTGCCGGCTAGGCAGCCGGAGCGCTCTGCAGGTGCGGTGGCCTCGCAGCCTGCGCTCGGGGCCCCGGCGGCGGAGACGCGCGGCCGAGCAGTCTGCGAGGCGGCGGGGGAGGGGAGGGGGCGGACGAGGAGGGTGGGGAGAGGGGAGGAGCGGCCGGTGGGTGGGGGCCGCGGGCGGCGGGGCGAGGCGCGGAGGGGGCGGGGAGAGCGCGCGAGCCGCAGGCCGGCCCCGCGCGTGGCCCGGGGCCCCCGGGGCCGCTGGCCTCGCTCCCAGGCCGTCCGCTCCGGGACGCACGGCAGGGACCGCCGCCTCCCCAGGTGAGCTTCGGGGTGCGAGGCTGAGCCCAGGGTCTGGGCGGCCCCGGCGGCGCCGGAGGCGGGGAGCAGCCGAGGGGGTGCTCCTGCTGGGCTTGCCGGGAGGATCGCTGGCGGGACAGGGGTCTGCGCAGCCCTGACCCTCCCACTCTTGCATTCTTCCTGCTCAGCGACCTGAGATCACCTAAGCTGTGGCTGGGCCGCCATGACAATCCCCACCGGGCCAGGAGGCCAGGAGGCCAGGAGGCCAGGGTACCAGGGGGCTGGGTTTGCCCCAGTCCTTCCCCCACGTGCTGCTTCTTCCATCCACTCCGCAGCCAAAGACTGGGGAGCTGCAGGGGAACGATGGGGGAACAAGGAGTCCAATCATTATAGAAACTACCGAGATGTTGAGAATTCCCAGTAAAGCATGAGTAAACCTGAAGGTGTCTGAAATTAGAAAGACTATTGGTTTTATTGTAATGAGAGAAGCTTACATTAATGAATTCCATGGTGCCTTACGCTACCTATTCCATCCTCTCAACAGCTCCATAAATTAGATGTTTACCTCATTTTACACAAAAGGAAACTGGGGCTCAAAGCCATCGCCTGTAATCCCAGCACTTTGGGAGGCCAAGGCAGGCAGATCAGCTTGGGTCAGGAGTTCGAGACCAGGCTGGCCAACTTGGTGAAACCCCGTCTCTACTAAAACTACAAAAAATAGCCGGGCAGGGTGACTGGTGCCTATAATCCCAGTTACTGTGGAGGCTGAGGCAGGAGAATCACTCGAACCTGGGAGGCGGAGGTCACAGTGAGCCGAGATCGCACCATTGCACTCCACCCTGGGCAACAGAGCCAGACTCTTGTCTCCAAACAAAGAAACAAAACAAAATAACAACAACAACAAAAACGTAGCACTAGTAGCTGGTGTAGTCAATATTCCAACCCAGAAGCTTCGTTCTCAAAAACCCAGACTGTTTGAAATGGTAAAGGCAGTATTACGCTCACGCTGTGACATGCAGCAGCCCTACTCTGAAATGCTGGGTGATCCTGTTTCTGCTGTTCCAATAAGTGTGCCTATCCCAGGGCACTCTTGAGGATTTCCAAATGTTTCACAGGGTCTTTGTTCTTTGACCAAGTTAGGTAATATCTGTCCCTGGCATCTGCTTCACCAGATTTTCTTAATTTCAACAACCTCTGCCCAGGGAAAGGTAAATATTGCCTCCAGAAGCAAGCAGCAGCTCCCCTCCCCCATCTCAGTGCATCCTCTCCCACCGAGGCACCAACCACTAGACAACTCAGGGGTCACTACTCCCAGCCTGCCAGGAGACCTGGGCACTCGTGAAGACAGATCTTTGAGTCAGCGTTCAGGGAATCCAAATTCTTCATTTTTCTAGTGTCAAAATTAAGGCCCAGAAGTGTACCTGGGTCACAGTGGGTGTGCTCTCTGGCATCCTTTATACCAGGAGTCCCCAACCCCTGGGCCCTGGACCACACCATACCAGTCCATGGACAGCGAGGAACCAGGCCGCAGAGCAGGAGGTGAGCGGCTGGTGAGCCAGCATCACCCCAAGCTCCCTGCCTTCTGTCAGATCAGCTGGGCATTAGATTCTCATAGATGAGAGAACCCTATTGTGAACTGTGCCTGCCGGGGATCTAGGTTGCTCCTTGTGAGATGATGATCTGATGATGATGTGATGATCTGAGGTGGAACAGTTTCATCCTGAAACCATCACTCCCACTTCCCATTCGTGGAAAAATTTTCTTCCATGAAACCGGTCCCTGGTGCCAAAAAGGTTGAGGACACTGAAATTTATACAATACTTTGGCCAAACCAGGACAAAATGATTCTCCTTCTCAGGAAAAAAAAAAGTAATAATACTAATGTTGGTAATTACTAACATTTTTTGACACGTGTGCCAGACAAAGCCCTCACTCACATCCGGTTCTCTGAATTACAGATTCTATGCTTGGGTTTAAGTGACTTTAATTTAAAAGCATACAGATATACTGACATTATCCCAGCAAAAACCAAATGAGGTATGTAGTTGCAAATAACTTGAACTAAAGAAACAAAGAAATAACTAAACTTTAATCATTATCATCATTAACCTAATTTTATCTAGAACTCTTGCAGGCAGCCATTTCTTTTTCTTCTTTTTTGTTTTGTTTTGAGACAGAGTCTTGCTCTGTCACCCATGCTGGAGTGCAGTGGCAAGATCTCCGCTCACTACAATCTCCATCTCCTGGGTTTAAGTGATTCTCCTGCCTCAGCCTCCTGAGTAGCTGGGACTATAGGTGCACACCGCCTGGCTAATTTTTTGTATTTTTAGTAGAGACGGGGTTTCACCATTCTGGCCAGGCTGGTCTTGTACTCCTGACCTCATGATCTGCCCGCCTCAGCCTCCCAAAGTGCTGGGATTACAGGTGTGAGCCACCTTGCCCAGCCATGTCTTCTAAGAATATTATAGTTTGAGCATTCTCACAGCACACAAATCAGTGGCTGAAGTTTATACCATCTCCACTCGCAACAACTCTCTCTCTCTCTCTCCCTCTCTCTCTCTGTCTCTCTTTCTCACACAAAAGACACACACCAGGAGAGAGAGAGCACACTCTTGATTTTTTTTTTCTTTGAGAAAGGGATAAGTGGAAACTGCATATGTCTTTGGAATTGCTGGAAATGCTATTTCCCAGTAGTGAATCCTGCTCCACATCCTAGCATACTTGCCATAATTTCTTAACCTCAAGAAAGAGTATTCCTTTGTTGGAAAGAGATCTCTATCGTGTCTGCCCTTTCCAGGCATTCTCTTGCTTAGTGGAAACCCAGGGAGGGTCAATTTGCAGGCTTTATGCTCATCCTCTAACCCCAAATGGGTGGAAATTGTAATCCCTGAGATTACCAGGGCAAAAAGAAAGAGAACAGGCCTCTGATAATGAGAACCTAAATCATTTTGTCTTGTAGATTGGGAGTAAATATTAAATTTACTCCCAATAGTACCTTGAGAATTTGTACCAGGAGTTACTAGAATTAGCTCACTCACATTTTTGAAGCAAGTCAATAAAGGAACGAGGTTTTTTTGTTTGTTTGTTTGTTTGTTTTTATCCAAGTGGTTTACAAGAAATGATTCTAAATAAAGAACTATGCAGTATAAAAGGTACAGAATACTGTCAGACCTGCTACAGCCTAAGATAATAGAGGTGTTTTTCTATAAAAGAGAAGTTTTAAAAGAGAAATTTTCATCCTCATAATGGACAGACTTCTGAAACAATAAAGCAGATATGTAGGTATTAAAGAGTGATGTCAGTCCTCTGGGTGGCTGTCCTCCCTTTGGACTTAAGCCTGTAAAATTGCAGAGAAGTAGCTTGTCCCCTGGCCCCTTTCCTCTGTGGACATTTCCTACTCTTTGCACCTCCCTTTCCTGTTTTTCCTCAGGAATCTCAGTCTTTCTACATCTCCTGGAAAATATGTCCTCATTGCATTCTTCTCTCCCTCTGCTCATCAATCAAATTTCTTAACCCTTTGTATTGTGAAAGATAAAACACATACAGAAAAGAAGTTCTTAAATGAAAATGTATAATGACTTATCACAAGGAAAACACTGATGTTAGGTCATGAACTCTTGTCAGCCCTCCAGAAACTCTTCTCTTACTCCTTCCTCCAATTCAAATTTCCTTCCTTCCTTCCTTCCTTTCTTTCCTTTCTTTCTTTCATTCTTTCATTCTTCCTTCCTTCCTTCCTTCCCTCCTTCCTTCCCTTCTTCTCTCCCTTCTTTCTTTCCCTTTCTTTCTCTTTCTCTTTCTTTCTTTTTCTTTCTTTTGTTCTTTCTTTCTCTCTTTCTTTTCTTTTTTTTTTTTTTTTGGCACTGTCTGTCACCCAGGCTGGAGTGAAGTGGCAGGAAAATAGCTCACTGCAGCCTTGACCTCCCAGGTTCAAGCAGTCCAGCCATTTCAACCTCCCAAGTAGCTGGGACCACAGGCACATGCCATCACATTCAACTCTTTACCTTTAGTACAAAAAAGGTCTCACCATGTTGCCCAAGTTGGTCTCAAGCTCCTGGGCTCAAGCAATCCTCCCTCTCTGGCCTCCCGAAGTACTGAGATTACAGGCTTGAGCCACCACTCCCAGCCCACTACAAATTTTCAGAGTAATCAAATCCTTCTTTTTGTTTATAGTTTAACACCTAATTATCCATCCCTAAACAAAATAGATTATGTTTTTCAGGTTCACTTTTCATATAGATGGAGTCACTCTTCATATAGATGGAACCGAAAAGATGGCCCTTTTATGTTTGACGTGGTTTCCTTAATATTGCATTTGTGGTATTCTTCCATGCTGTTGCAAGTAGCTTTAGTTTTTCTGTTTGTTTTTCTATTGTATGTAATACCACAATTTACTTATCCATTTTACTGCAGAAAGTTATCTAGGCTGTTTCCAGCTTTGACTATTATTAACACTGCTACAAAGTGCATTTTACACTTTCCTTGGTGCACATAGGCAGGCACTTCCAGGAGGTACACGTGGAGGAGTGTCGTTGTGAGGTCATGGTATATAGATACATGTTCTGTTTTAGTAGATACTGCAGTTTCCCAAGTTGTTTGTATTGATTTTCATTACTACTAGGAATGCATAAGCTTCCCCAGTTCTTCACATCCTTGACAATAAGTATATTAGAATTGTCACAGTAGGCATTCTGGTGAGTGCATAGCAGTATCTCACTGTGGAATGAGACTTTTGTTT